ACGGGATCCATTACTCAATGCGTTTTCGTCTTCTACATCTACATCCCCGCCGCATCTGTCGATTGGAACCCAAGAAACTATGAAAACAACGGAACACTACAATAGGGCCCAGGAGGGTCCCCAGACGCCTCCAAGACGGCTCAAGACCCCCACAGAGAGCTGCAAGACGACCCCTAAGAAGTCGAAACCACTGAGCGACTCAACCTTTGGTATGACTTTGGCGTGCTTTGGCATGCTCACCTGCCCCAGGATCGGCCCACGACGGCCCAGGAGGAGTCCCGAGAGGGCCCCTGGACGCCAGGAGAGGGGCCCTGCAGCGGCTCGAGACGGCCCAAGAGGGCCCCATAACTGCCCGCGAGGGCCCCGCGACGGCCCAAGCGCAGATCGAGCACTCGTCCGGTCGTGCCCCCGCGGAGCGGAGCGCATCCGGGAGCAGGGCCGGAACGATGTCCTGCCAGATGGTCGACACGCACAGGGTCCTGCCCTTGGCGCGCACGAACTTGGCCACTCCGTTGCACACGCGCCTGTCGGCTCGGGGGTCGGCACGCGGGGGGCGTCGCGAAGCCGGCCTTCCCGACGTCTCCAGGAGCCGGGAGGCGCCCAGGCGGCGGGGCCAGGGCCAGCCTCTGCCACGCATCTGAGACCTGCCGCGTGCCCTCCCTTCCCCTTCGCCTTCCTCTCCCTCCCTGCTTCTCTTCCTGGCTCCTGCTCCTGCTTCTGCTCCTCCCTCCTCCTCCCAACTCCTCCTCCTCCTCCCTTCTCCTCCTCCTCCTCCTCCTCCTCCTCTCCTCCTCCTCCCACTTCCTCCCATTTGTTCTCCCATCTCCATCCTACCCTCTCGCCCCTTATCCTCCTCCTCCTCTTTTTTCCTTCCTCCTCCACATCCTCCTCCTCCTCCCTCCTCCTCCTCCCTCCTCCCTCCCCCCTCTCGTCCGACCCGAGCCTGGCCGTGGCTCGGTCCAGGGAGGAGGTGAACTCGTCGATGGCGCCCTCGCCGCAGGACAGGCGGCGCGCGATGTCGGCGCGGCTCTGCTCGCCCGAGCTGAGCTCCCGGTACGGGCGCAGCCAGCACTGCTCGGGCAGGGCCACTGCCCGCAGCAGCGCCTCGGCCTCTGGAGGGGCCGCCCGCGCGGGGCCCGAGTTACGTCGGGCACGTCCTCCTACAAGAAGTCGGGCCTGTCCCTCTACAGGAGGGAAATTCAAAAATAGTGGAAACATAGTCTGGGGAGTATGTTTTGAACATTTGTTGTGTCAATTTTGGAATATGTTTGGGGTACTTCCTATTTTTCAGAGAAAATCCCCCTGTAGGGGGACACGCCCGACCTAATCCTACAGGCAGATGTTGGACGAAAAAGTAAACATAGTCAAAGCATATTAAAAAGTCGAACAGACACTCCAGACATCGTCCCCAGACAGTTGTTCTGCTTTTCTTGAACACTCCTCCTGCAGAGGGGCAGGCCCGACTTACGGCCAGAGTAGATCAGCACGGCGAAGCTGACTACCTACCAGACCACCCCAACCCAACCCGAAGACCCGAAATTCGGGTTGGGGAGGGTACGGGCTCCATATGTGTTTTCTCGATGTTCCCCGACCCCCCCGCTGGAAATGGAGGTCAATTTGAGGCCTTCGGGTTGGGTTGGGTAGGGGGCCACATGCGAACCCTACCCCTACCCCCCACGATTTCTAAGGGAAAGAGTGGGGTTCACTTCGTTGGGGAGCTCCCGAGCGAAGTGAACCCCACCCTCCCCCTCTTAAATCGTGGGGGGTAGGGGTAGGGTTCGCATGTGGCCCCTTATTGGGGTGGTTTGGTGGGTGGTGAGAAGCGAGTGCCATGACAAAGCCGAGCCCAGAGGAAAGAGGATCCTGGAGATCTGGCGGCTCTGGAGGACCCACCTGGCGCCGCGGCCGCTCCAGAGCGCCCCGGAACGCCCCGGGAGCCTCCGGCAACGCCTGCTCCCCGCCCTGGGCCCGCGCGAGAGACTCGGGTCGGGCGAAAGGGGGGGATAGCAAAGGGGGGGGTTGAGAATCAGCTCACGCAGCTGATTCTCCCGGCGCCTCCCGGCGCCGGGAGGCGACCATGTATCGAGGAATGGGCCCCTCGGTGGGGCCGAAACCAGCTGCATGCAGCAGATTTCGTACCCCCCCCTTTCCCAATCCCCCCCTTTCGTCTGGCCCGAGAGACAGGGAAAGAGCGCGTTCCACTACTCGCAAAGTAACTACTCGCAAATGGCCTGGATCCCCCGCGGAGGATCTACGAGAAATTGTAGCAGAGCGGACATGTGTTTTCAGACTTTTGCGAGTAGGCGCTTTGCGAGTAGTGGAGCGCGCTCGCGAGACAGGAGCGGAGGTAGGGGAACCAACACTGACATAAGCATCAAAACTCGGAGGCTCGCGCGGATTTCTCGGGTCGGCGCTGGACTCCCCTCCCTGGCGCGCGGAGCGCGCCAGGCGCGGCGCCAGAGGTGCCGCCAGGGCGGTCCAGCGCCGATCCGAGATTTGCGCGGACCTCTGATGTTTTATGTCTATGTCGCTGTGTGCTCCCTGGGGAAGATCGCACCGCATGGCCGATGCCTCGGCGATGCCGGTATGGAGAGAAATCGATGCTCGAGTGCGCACCGCATCGCCGACAACATCGGCAGCCCGGCGAGTCTCCCTGGGCGCTGACAACCCAGGCCTCGCTTTTTTAAAACACGGACGTTCCACTACTCGCAAAGTGCAGTCAACCCGTATCATAAGGACGCACGGTAAGGATGCAAGGGCCTTGGAAGGCCATCTCGAAGCTTTTCGAGCGGGGCGCGGCCAACGAAAGTGGCCAAGGATGGACCGAGGAGGAAAGGATGCAAGGGCACCCTTGGGAAGGTTGCCCATCTGCAACTACTCGCTAATGGCCTGGATCCGCCGTGGGGGATTCACGATCCATCGCGTCGAGGCAGACATGTGATTTTCGGATGTTTGCGAGTAGGCTCAGGTCGGGCATGTCCCCTTACAGGCGGATTTTGGAAGAGATATTAAGCATGGTCAAAAATACACAAAGATGATCAAACATATTCGAAACATCGTGCATAAACGATGTTTTGTTTTTTTTACTATTTTTGAATATTCCTCCTGTAGACGGACGTGCCCGACTTAAGAAGTAGGCGCTATATGCGAGTCGTGGAGCGCGCTCGGTGACATTTCTTTGGACGCCCGAAATGATTACGGACAACAGTGAGTACAACGCCCAACAGCAAATGCTGTCCCAAACCAACAGCGGCCGCTGCTGGGCGGGCGGCCTTCTGTCTCCAAGGGGCACAGGCCGCGGCGGCGCGGACAGCTAGCCCTGCTCAAAATGAACAAGAACTGTTGTTTGGTTCGGGGATCTTCTGACCCGGGTCCATCCAGACCCGGGTCAGCAGGAAACCAAAAACTGCAATGCAGGAACAAAAACTGCAACGCAGGTCTTCGCAAACCCGGGTCAACCAATATGCGCGGCCGCCTCGCGGCCACGAGCGGCTCGGCAACCCGGGTCAGCCAGAAGGGGGTCTTCGCAGGACCCTGCAGGATCCGGTGCCCTGGCCGACCCCAGTTTGCATTGACCCCCGTCTCTTGAGCCCCGATGGGTATCGCGCCCATTCTTTCCGTACCCACTTCGGTCGTCCCGAATTTCTGGGCGGCCAAAGGCGTGTCCTCCTACAGTTACGTCGGGCCTGTCCCTCTACAGGAGGGAAATTCAAAAATAGTGGAAAAATAATCTGGGGAGTATTTTTTGATTTTTTTGACAATTGTGGAATATGTTTGAATATTTGTTGTTTTTACTAGAAAGTCCCCCTGTAGGGGGACACGCCCGACCTAATCCTACAGGTCGTCCCGAGTTTCTGGGCGGCCAAGGGGCCTCGGAGGCCGTGCCGGCGATCTGCTCCTTCACGGGGCCCTCGCGGTGCCAGCTCGGGGCGTCGGGCGCCGCGCGGAGCCCGAGCTCGGCGACCAGGCGCCGCAGCTCCGAGGTCTTGCCGCTGCCTGTGCGGGCGGCTCCAGGGAACGTGTGGGGCTCTGGCGGAGGGGGCCCGAGGACGAGCGGCCTCACGCTTAGAAAAAAGTTATCATCATTTTGGATTCGCAGCACTAAGATTAATATTCACCTTCTTATTGCTAGCCATATTATTTTTCTTTGTCTTCAGTACTCGTACCATTAGTACGATCATTACAACGGTTATTAGAATTGTTGATATTACTATCTTTATTACTTTTACTATTACTACTACTACTACTACTACTACTACTACTACTACTACTACTACTACGACTACTACTACTATTATTACTATTACTATTACTAGTATTACTATTATTACTACTACTATTATTATTACTAGTATTATTATTATTATTATTATTACTACTACTACTACTACGACTACGACTACTACTACTACTACTACCACTACCACTACCACTACCACTACCACTACCACTACCACTACCACTACCACTACTACTACTACTACTACTACTACTACTACTACTACTACTACTACTACTACTACTACTAACTACTACTACTGCTACTTGCTACTACTACTGACTACTACTACTACTACTACTACTGACTACTACTATATACTACTACTACTATATTATAATAATGTACTACTACCATGTTTCGCTGATGGCAGGCAATTCTACCAGCTTGGCTCCGACCGTGTGAAGGTTCCGCTGGGGATCCCTTCGGTCTCCTCGGGACCCCCTCCCCGGGTGCCCCATCGTTGCGCCGTCGGCCGCCGCTGGGCCCCGTGAGGACGATGATCCTGGACTTCTTGCCAGCAGGGCCAACAAGAACACCGAGGTCCTGGATCTGGTGCAGGGTGGTAGTGGAGGTGCCGTCGAAAGAGTACTCGAAAGCCTCCTCCACCTTCCGGCAAGACTCGGTGACCTGAACCCTGGCGCGGAGTTCCCGCTTCCCGCCAGCCACGCTCCACCTTTGAGTCCTCCCCGCCAGCGCCTGGGCCACGACCTGCTCGCGATCATCCTGCAGCCCCCTCCCCCGCGGATCAGGAACATCGAAATCGGATCGGCGGAACATCGAAGCGCGCCAGATCGGAACAGCATTGACAGGATCCAGCGTCTCCCACCTCGGATGTGGAAACCGACGTCGACAAAATGGGGAGGAGTAAGAGGACTGGGGGACCAGGTACACTAAGGGGAATGGAGCAGCGTGACGGAGGATGCAGGAGGAAGAACACGAAGGAGTAAAGGAGGAGGGAGGATGAAGAGATGGTAATGGAAGAGGGAGAAGGGAGGAAGGAGAGATGGAGGATGACGAGGAGGATGAGAATGAGGATGTGGAGGAGGAGGAGGAGGAACAGGAGGAGGAGGAGGAGGAGGAGGAGGAGGAGCTGGAGCAGGAGCAAAAGGAGGAGGAGGACGTGGGAGGGAGGAGGGTTGGATGAGAGATGGAGGGATGAGGAACGAAGTGAGGGCGAGCGCCGGCTCAAGCCTATTGGATGAAGCTGTTGCCCGGGGGCCTCCGTTTCTCTTGGGTGGGGGCTCGGGGTGGTCAGCGGACCTGGGACCCTTTTTGTGAAGGGGCCCCAGGACACACAAATAAATACACACACAAACAAACATATTCCCCATATTTCCCTCATATTTTCTTGGGTTCTGTCTTCCCCACCACTTCCCATATTTTCCCATATTTTTCAGGGGATCGACGATTACTTGTGTCTGTTTTTTTTCCCCTCCTGAACAAGGGGGTGGCGCGAGTGGGGTGGCCTTCGAAGAAGGCGGCGTGCCACTTAGAATGCAGGGGCCTTCTCAGAGGGGCCTGAGGGCTTCTAAGAAGGCTTGCCGGAAGCTGGGAGGGTTTCGAAACAACGGCCCCTGCCTTCTCAGAAGCTCCCCGCATTCGACCAAGGCCGCCGACCTCGCGCCACCCCACTGGGAGGGCCGCCGATTTTGTCCCTACACTACATTTGGGGAGAAGACGGAAGCGGACATGAATGTTCAGTTGTGGGCGTTTACATACGCTGCACGGCCACAACTGCAGAACAGCGTCCATCAGGAAATGGAGGGGGAACGGGGGGAGGAGGAGGAGGAGGAAGAGGAGGAGGAGGAAGAGGAGGAGGAAGAAGATGAGGATGAGGAGGAGGAAGACACATTTTCCGTACACTATCCCATTGCTACCGTGCTATCTGGGCTTGTCCCCATGAGTCTGCGAGCGCGCGCTTGGCTGCCTCGTGGTTGACATGGCCGTCGGTATTCGTGCGAAGTGTGGTCGTCCTGCGCATTCCCTTTGTGCCCATCTGCCTGTTCGTGGGAGTCATGCCACGAGGGCTTCGGCATGGTTGGTACAACTTCGGCCGAGGATCACTGCCTTTGGGGCGTATTGGGCTTCCTCGGGGTGTACCTTGCACTCCTGTTGCTGTACTCTCAGTGCTGCTGCTGCTCTTCTTTGGTTTGTGCATCGCGGTGCCCAGTCTCGTGGGGAGGACTTCCTTCGTCTAGGGCTCATGTGGCAAATGCTCCTTACGTGTGTGTGTGTGTGTGTTGTTCGGGCGTTGGCAGAACTGGGTTTAGCGGGACCTGGTTTAGTGATGTGTACCGGGGGGCGCCCCCCCCGTCCCATTCCACTAACCGGAGTTGCCGTAACCCGAAAAGCATCGGCTACGGCAGACCTGGTTTGGGGATTCCAGCCCATGTTTTGGGCCTCGGGGGGCCAATCACTAACCGGCTCCCCTTAGCCGGGGTCCCGGCTGTACCCGACGTGTGTGTCTGTGGCATCGGAACACTGGCTCGCCACGGGAAGGCGCTCGTGCACTGCGAGGGGGGCGCGCGTCCTCGGGCTCGCGTCCTCGGGCCACGCCGCGCTCGCGCCACAGAGGGCCGAAGAAACCCCTCGTCGGTCACGCCGCGCCCGCGCCCCCAGGGGCAGGACCCCTCGTGAACGACGCTGCGTCCGCGCGCCCAGGGCCACGAACCATCGCGAGCTGTGCCGGGTCCCTTCTCCCTGGGCCACGAGCCCTCGTAAAACTACACCGCGTCCGCGCGCCCAGGGCCGCGCAAGCCTCATGAATTGCAGTGTGTCTTACCAGCCTCGAGCGTATCCCTATCCCTAAGATTGACACGCCAAAAGGCGATGACAATCTTAGGGATTCGCCCTCAAAAATGAGGGAATCCCTAAGATTGGCATCGTGATGAGGAGGCGCCCAGCATAGGGACAGGGATATGTTCCAGGCTGGTAAGGTGTGTCCGCGCTCCCAGTGCCGCGCTCCCGAGCAGGTTGCGTGGTGTCCGCGCTGCCAGAACCACTCGGGTGTCCCAGGGCGCCCAGGCCGTCCCAGTTCTGCAAGACGAGCGTATCGCTTGAGGCATCCTCGGAGATTCGGCGCGCGGGGTGCGCCATCCTCGAGCGGGCACGCAAAAAGTGGACTTCCGACCATTGTCTGAGAAGTGTCAACGCCTCCAGACCTAGTGCTTCATCGCGGATTCTGCGCAGAACGCTCCGCACCCCTGTCTTTGCAAGGGCAAGTGTGCGTCTCCACGCCCCGTTATCTATCGAGGATCCGCGATAAGGGGGCACATCTTCCTTGCGAGGGCACGCGCGAAACGCATTTTTTCGAAAACCACAAGCAGATTTCACTACGCCATTTATCGCGAATCATTCCGCCGGCGCACATTTTCGCCGAGCGGGCACGCGCGAAACGCAACTCTTCAAACAAACATCAGATTTTACGTCGTTATGTATGGCAAAATGATTCCGCCCGCCCTCTTCAGGTCGATTCCAAGGGTAAACCTATACTAAAAGAGAGCCCTGGGCCCGAGCCCTATCCGGGAAAAACCTGAGGTGGATTATCGTGGACTCTTCTTTACGGTTGCGCCCTAGGAAAAAGTCTGAGGTGGATCATCGTTTTCTTATTCGTTGGTTTGCCGATCGCGGGCCCTCGCACCCAGTCCTCCCCCCCCCCCTGCCTTTGAGTAGATCTTGGCTGCTTTTGCCGCCTGCTTCGAGCAGGTGGAGTCTCCCCCATAGGACGCACTGTTGCAAACAGCCGCATCGAGCAGAGGTCTGGAGCCAGACCCCCCCCCCTCCCCCACCCCCTTCGGCCTCGAAACGCCGAATAAGAACATGCTCACAAACTTGAAGCCCAAAATGTTGCCATCTCTTGGGGGCGCAGGATGCGGTCGGGAACTCTGAATTAGCGTGTCGCGCCGCCAGTCCTGGCCCACCACGCCTTGGCGTGACACGCTGTGCACGTCCCAGTTCCCAGGCGTCACTGTCCCGAGCCTTCCCCAGCCTCCCGCACTGCGGAGCGGGTGACACGCTATCCGCGACACGCCGAAAAACAAAACGCTCACCTTCGGCTACGCCCGAGGTGCACGGCCTCACTCGCCACGTCGCAGCCCGCAGTGCCCGCGGGGGGGGGGGGGGGGGGGGGGGGGCAGATGCCAGACTGCCGAGGTGGAGAGTGCCCCTGCGCCCCGCTCCCGCGGGGGGCCGCGTCGCGGGGTGCAGGGCGGCCTGGTGCCCACGTGGGGCGCTCCAGGGCGATTTGGACCCCCGTCGGTGTCCACGGCACCACCCCATCCGAAGAAGAAGAAGAAGAAGAAGAAGAAGAAACCGAAGAAGAATAAGAAGAAGAAGAAACGGCATAGAAATAAACTTGGGGCGCTCCGCGCGGATCTCTTGGACCCGCGCTGGACTCCCCCGGCGGCGCCTCCGGCGCCGCCCCTGGCGCGCCAGGGAGGGGGGCCCAGCGCAGATCCAAGGAATGCGCGCGGAACGCCAAAATGTTATGTTTATGCCCTTTTTTCCTTCTTCTACACATTGCATTTCTTCTACCCATTGCGTTTCATCCCTCCCGAGAGTTTCTCACGCTGGCGGGCTAGGCTGCGGCACAATAACACCAGCCCCTCGTTCGCTTTCGAATGCCACGCAAGGGGGTACTCCATATCAGGCAGAGCATTGCCCTTGAGGCCTTGGATGTTCAGGCCAAGGCACTGCGACCAATCGCCCCCCCAGCGTTCCATCCATCGATCCATCCATCCATCCATCCGCCCCAGTGATGGGGTAGCGAAGAATGACATAAACATACAAACTCGGAGCTCCGCGCAGATTTCTCGGATCGGCGCTGGACCCCCTCCCTGGCGCGCGGAGCGCGCCAGGGGCGGCACCGGAGGCGCCGCCAGGGGGACCCAGCGCGGATCCGAGAAATCCGCGCGGACCTCCGAGTGTTTAATGTTTATGCAACTTTTTGTTCCCCTAGTTCCATCCATCGATCCATCCATCCACCCATCCGCCCAAGTGAGGCACGATCCAGCGCAGACGAGCCGTCGCGAGCGCCTTGGAAGCGGTCCAACCCGCAGCCGAAGACTGCAACCTCGCCAGAAGCCCACGAGCACACGGGGCCACCCGCGAAAAAAAACTCCCTATGGCAGAAGACCTTGAACAGCTTTACTGAAGGGGCCCCAGGACACACAAATAAATACACACAAATAAAACGATTCCCCATATTTTCCTGTATTTTTGGGGTTCCGTCGTCCCCCTCACTCTCCATATTTTCCCATATCTTCTCGGGAATCGACGATTAATTGTGTCTGTGTGTTTCTTTCCCTCCTGAGTTACGATGGGGGCCACGGTGGGCGGCACGGTGGGGGGCACGCTGGGGCTCCACGATGGATGGGGATCAGGATGGGGATCGGGATGTGGGTACAGGGATAAGATAGGGATCAGGATAGGGATAGTATAGGGATACAGGGATCGGGGTAGGGACAGGGATATAGGATAGGCACAGAGGCAGAGGGACAGAGGGATGCAGGGATAGAGATAGGGATAGCGATTGGAAGGGAGGCAATTGGAGGCTGCGGGGGGCAACTGAAGACCACGTCGCCCAACCGATTCCGAATGTGGCAGGCCAGCTGCTAATGGAAGGCCACAGGAGGCCACATCGCCCGACCGATTCCGGATCCGGCAGTCCACCTGTTAGTTGTTTCTAAGCCTTGTATGTCATGTTTACGGACGAGCTGTTCAGGGAAAAGAGCG